TACAACCATCTACGTTATATAACAAGCCAGCTCTTTTATTATCATCTCATAGCTCTCTTTGATAGTTGAGGAGAATCAAAGCTAAACGCGAGACTGGCTCCTGAAGGACCCAAGCGCCTTCACAGCACCGGCCCTCAACACAAACTGATGGTAGAAAGCCGCAATGGCTGCACCCGCAAACGGACCGACCCAGAATATCCACTGCAATATATAGTAGCAAAAACTTAATAAAACGTTACTGAAAATTTTATATCGAAGACGAAGAAGTAAATATAGTATTACGAACATGATGGTCCCAAGCTTTGTCCTTGTTGTAGATGATTGCAGCTCCTAGACTTCGAGCAGGGTTAATGCCAGTGCCCGTGATTGGGATTGTAGCTAAGTGAACTATGAACACTGCAAACCCAATTGGTAGTGGAGCCAATACCTTCACAACACAAAATGAAATGTTACTAAAATATCACAAGGCAAATGAAATTGGTAGTCGAGTCCAAAAATTTATTCGTGTACTTATATTTGGGAGAAGATCGAGAAGTATACGTGGTTGCAAATGAAGTTGGGACCACAAATAAAGAACAACATATGATGGAGAAAGGCGTGAAAGACAAAAAACAATTTAGACGATCAGTGTCCTTTTTGTCGTTTATTATGATGAAGAATCTAGAAAATAGATTCGTAAAATTTATGCATATCTTTTTAGCTCAAAGTAACAGTATATCTTTCAGCTTTGATCCGACTAAAAGTAAGTTTACGAACCGGTCGAATATTCAGATATCTAACACCAGCTTATCTAGTTCGGTCCGAATGATGCGAACTGGGAAATTAGTGATCTGGACAAAACGAAACATATTAAAAAAAAAAACTTATATTTACGTCAATCCAATTTAATGCATAATTATATTCCCTTGTTTTTAGTTATAAATGGAATGCCGTATAGGACACGGATGTCACACTGTTTCCATTAATGGCGGTGAATTTCTAAATTATCTAACCATGACTAATTTCTTTGTTGTGTGACATAATCAACACATTTTCTCTAAAGACTCTAACTAAAAGGGGGAAAATGAGCTTACAGGGACGTGAGAGTCACGCGCACTCCTCTTGGGGTCAGTGGCGGAGAAGACGGTGTAGACCAAGACGAATGTACCGATGATCTCGGCCGCAACACCGGTGCCGATGCTATAACCGTCGGAAAGACCGTTTGCGCCACCACCGTAGCGTGTGTAGTAAGAAGACTGGAAGGATTTTACCAAAGCAACACCGCAAATTGCACCAAGGCACTGAGCTACCATGTACATCACTGCTCTCACCAACGTCACTTTCCGAGCCAAGAACAGCCCAAACGTCACCGCCGGATTAATATGCCCACCTATATCATTAAATAAAGTTGAATTAAAACATTGATGTGAGACTAAAAGCTACACCAAATTTTACTATAAATGAATGATAACGTCGTATAGAAAAACAAACTAAAAAACTGAACTAAAAACTCATTTATTAAAAACTCATTATAATATTTAAAATAAATATGAAAAATAAGCTTAATTATCTATCAAATAATAGCAAAAGATTAATATTTAAGAATTTCAGGTAACGTAAGGCAAGTTGAGACAACACAAGTTCTGTTCTGAGCTAAAAAACATCGCTAGTTTAAGAGCAAATCCATGAAAATAAGGAAAAATCATTAAGTTAAAAGAGAGAAAGAAAGAAAGAGACCAGAGATTCCGGCAGTGCAGTAAACGAGGATGAAGATCATGCCACCAAAGGCCCAAGCGATGCCGAGGATGCCAACTCCTGCGCACTGATCGGGATTGAGGGCTGGATCGGTCTGGCTCTTGTAACCGATAACAGTCATAACCGTAACGTAGAGGAAGAGGAGAGTGGCTATGAACTCAGCGATGAGAGCTCTGTAGAAAGACCACTTCCCGAACTCAGTTGCATCGAATAGAGGCTCAGGCGGTGGGTCTTGATAATCTTTGCCGGAGAAGGATCGGTTCTCTCCAACCACTTCCTTCGTCATTGTTTTTTTTTTCTTCTTCACCAAACTTAAGATCTTGTCTCTATAGTCTTGAGATATACTAGCAAGAGAGAGAAGAATTGATGTGGCAAGGTTGTGAGTCGGTGAAAGGTATTTATGGGCAGATGTGACGAGGCTTTGGGCTTTTTTTTTTTTTTTTTGGTTGTTGTAGTTGTTGTTATGATCATTTTTAACTAGTTTATTTAAGGTTTTGCAATTATGGCAACGGACGGATCTGATTAATTTTCTGTAGATAATACTGTTTTTATTTTTCCCATTATTTATAAGTTTATAACTTATAAGCCTTGGTTTTCTGTGGAGTGGACAAACAGTAATCTTTTGGCTAATGGAGAACAAAATATTGGAGACAAAATCCTAATGCATCAAATCTGTCACGTCCGCTTCAAAAACAATACAGAAGTCTACCAAAAAAACTAGTCCATTTCGCGTTGTCACTTTCAAAATTTAAATTTATAACTAGTTTAGTATTGTATATGTCATATGGTATCATGTGGGTAACTTTATATCAAAAACATACGCTTTTATTTAAGGGTATTGCTGAAAGAGAAACTCTTTTCTTCTTATGAATATCGTCACTTTCGTCGCTACTCAAAAACAAGAGAACCATGAAAAATAACTTATCAGTTAATGATTTTTTTTTGTTTCTTACGAAATTTCAAATTACAACTTCTTGTAAATTGACAATAGCTTTTTATCAAGATGGTTTACCAATTACCATCTAGATGGATGTGATGAAAGTGATTACCCAACTATAATAAAACCCAACCGCCGGTATAATTTTATTCCAACAAAGCATGTGACATGTACAAGACCAGTAAACTAGAATTTTAGATAAGATTTAATATTTTATGATAAAAATAATTATTATTAGGGATGTTCTCAATCGATTTTAGACTTTAACGTACACTTTTTTAGTCTGAAAATAAAAAATCAAACTATTTGCTACAAAATATCGATTTGATAGTTGGATTGAGTTAAGAATATGACGGGAATTCTAAGAGTGGTGGTTGCACTGCAAACTACTCGTTCATCACAATCATGATTTAAACCGACTTTTTGACTATGGGGTTGTAGAAAGTTTTGTAAGAAAAGAAGTTAGCAAAAGACTAATGTCATCTTCAGAATCCTATACATCAATTCAACGAATAGTATATATTTATCATTGCCCATTTTGATGATCAACTAAGATTTAGAGTTCCTGCAAAAAAGAGGGCTGCATACGAGTTTTTTTCAAAAATATTTAAATTATTTATGACATACTATTATACAGTTTTTATAATAGGTTAGATTGTAGAGTCGGGCAAACTATATATGAATCAATAGATATGACTAGGCCACAAAATGTCACTTTTATTTTACTTGCACAGAAAAAAGTAAATAGTACCAAACCCTAAATAACACAAAACTCACCAATTAGCTTGTCTCAGGAAAAAAAATGATGTGCTCTATAGATATAGGTGGACCAAGTATTCGAGAGCTTCATGCCGACTTTTTAGTTGATATACAGAGACAAAAAGATCTTCTAGAATCTTAAAATTTGGGTGTTCATTCATTTTAGAATGCCTCTTCCACTTTGTAACTTTTAGAATCTTGGTAAAGAAAATAGTAACATACACATACATATACATGGTAGAATAGTGTATTTTTGGTAAACTAATTCAAGATGAAAGATAATCTAATAGCAGGTCATATTAGTCAAAGTAGTCCAATACTGGCCTCGCATCTTAATGATTGAGGTAAAGGATTAGTTTCATTTACTGTTGTATTTATGCTGATCACTGTATAAATGAAAATCCACTTTTTGATAGATCTCACAAAGTACTAAAGTTTTGGTTAAAGATTTATCTGATTGATTTTTCATGATGGTTAATAACGAAGAAGATGGGCATGTTCGACTTCTAAACTATAGAGGACGGCAGTGGCGGTGAGTGGGTTGTTAACTTTCACCGACCCAACTTGACTTTGCAGATTTGCCATGTTTCTTTGTTTTCCGTTCTAAAGATTTTATGTTTCTTTCTCCTAGCCAACCAAATTCATAGGTTTAGGTATCCCCTATAAATTATTTTCTCATTTTATTCATTTCCTTTTTCCTATTTAATTTGTTAACTATTCACTTTTACTTTCCTAATAGAGTAAATCTGTATTTTTCCCCATCCACTTGCATATAGGCTCGTGATCACCACAACTAACTTAGTTCTTTGTTTATTTCTTTAGGGTTGTTTAAACCAATTTGCTCCGAAGTTTATCATTCTGAATCATTCCTGTTTTACTAGGAGGTATATTTAAAAGGGTTCTGGATCTGTTCCCGTGAATACCCAGTTGCCCACTATGTTTCATGCTTTTTTCTCACGTAAAATTCAATTTTTTATAAACAACTTTCTCTCACTTTTTATTTTGGATTTATTCAAACCATATGTTCGTAAAGTAAACTCTTCGTGGTTAGTTCTCGAATCTCATTTGTAGCCAAAGCGTTGAATCCAAAACAGAAAACTTTAAGTATTATTGGTATACATTTATACATATGACCAAGAAAAATAGGAATGTAATACTATCAAATCAAATATGAATATAAATGATTTGAAACCTAAAACAAATACGTATGCTGTTAAACCCGCTTGTATGTGCGGCTTTTCATTTAGCTATACTTAATTAAAACCAATCTAGCATCATAACTATTTTGGCCCTATACAATCTCAATCTTGGCGTAAATAACTCGAAACTATTGACATATATAAGTGCTCATACATCTAAACCCTTTCAAGGAACTACCAAATGGAACTTCAATGAACATCTCTTGTCTCTTATCATACACCATAACCTTGTCGTCTCCATTTCCTCTACCTTTCACCACTATGAAGACCTCATCATTTCTTGCTATGCACGCGAACCCAATATCAACACTTTGAATTCCTTCCAGAGCCTTTCTCATATGGATCCATGGGTCGCTGCTCCAGTGCTCGATCTTCTTGTCCACTCTTCCTGGACGCCATACGCAAATGTCATTATGCAAAACTGGGTAATGGTTGACAAGGCATACGTCTCCACTTAAAACCCCAAACCATGAACTGAATTTCTCCTTTGTTAAAAACGGACAGGCCACTTCTTGGTACTCTTCGTTGGCAAAGTCGAAACAAAGGATGGTGCTTTCCTTGCGGAAATTCTTGATGTGTGACCGGTCTGCTATCCAGTACATACAATGGTCCACAGCCGTACCGGTCCGGTATATTAATTTGCATTCAGGAGCAGTGACCGGTACGCTTTCTCTCCACGAGCTTTCTTTGAACGTATAGATATAGGTTTTGCGAGCGATTATCGTCACGATCTTGTAATCATCAGAAAACCGGTCATAACCGAATCCTAAAAGATTTGTGGTTTGACCCGGTTCAACCATCGGTATTCTCTTGAATTTTTTCGAAGCCGGGTTCCAAATCGCTAGGTCATCGTTGCCTTTTAGGGTGAAACACATCATACCATGGCAATGAAGAATACAGACCGGTTCGTTTAGGGCCGGTAATGTAAAGGGCAAGTCCAGCTTCAAAGACGTCGTTTTGTTGAGGTCGAGAAGGTATAAACCATCTTCGTGCAATGAAATGAGATGTGATGATTGTTGATTCGACATAAGGATCTTGATCAAAACCGATATGTTTGGTGAAAATCTTGGCAAAAGGGATACATCTTATGACTATGAGCAACAAGTGTTTTTATAGCTAGACAGACCATGCTTGTGTTTATTGAGAGCGTGCCTATGTAGTTACGTTAATGTTACAGTTAATGCTCGTCTTTTCTTACATTTGCATTGCCCCACATGCAACTTTGATCTTTAACATTCAGCCACATAATTAAAAGTTAACTATTTAATTGACTTTGTTACTTTTGTTTGTCAAAAACAACATCGGAAAAACAAAACGTGGGCCGATACTGGGCCTAGTATTATCTAACCTACCCAAAAACACCCAAGAAAAATGCTTTGGGTCCATGAAACGCACGACATGGTGTTGAATCTGTTGCAAAGTTCTCATGGAACCTGATGAGATGAAGATGATGGTATTGATCAAATTGAGTCCGAGAACACTTTGTTATCAACATATATTGGTTGTTACTTTTACATTATTGCTTACAAAAACCATCTAATAATTAACAATTTACGAGATTCGATTTTATGATAAAAAATAAAATAAAATAAACCTTTAGCTAAACAAATCAACTACAAAAAGAATCCTCATAATAAAAATACAAAGAATTGAAAGAAGAATAAGAAGGAGAGGAAGATTTTTAATGTAAAACTCAACACCTAACTTTTCTCTAATGTCTTCAAAATCTTCTGCTCTCTTCCTCTGTTTCAAAGAGTTTTTTTTTTGGCCCATTCACACTACAAATACAAAACACAAACACAATCAATTCTCATCTAACTTTTTTATATCCCCCAAATTGATTGCTCCTCATCTTCCTCTTCATTCATCTCTTCTAAAAGCTAACATTTTCCTGCTCACTGAACTCTTTCCTACTCCTCGCAACTCTATCACTTCAACACAATCCTCTTTCTTGGTTCTAGTCTGCGCCAATGTAGGCACTGTTCGGAATCAGTTCTTGCAGATCATTCTCTTCTGTCCCGTCACTACACATCCTGCTTCTCATCTCAGCCACCTTCTTGTGTGAGTTTGAGTGAAGAGCTGGAGTAAACGTTGGGCTAGCAGCTGGACGGTACTCAGGGAAAAGCCTTCCAGACTTGTAACGTACGCCACACGCATTGCAAAGCGTCTTTGGACCCATAGGTCCAAGCCTCCACTGTGGTGTCTTTGTCACCTCACAGTGCATACACTTCCTAACCGGATTCTGCTCTGAAGAGTAGGAATCATCAACGTTGTTGTTTCCACTCACTTCAAGATCAAACCCTGACGAAGAAGAGGAGGAAGTAATCTTGGCCTTCTTCTTCTTCTTCTTGGTGATCATCTTGTTGTGCTCGGAGAGAAACTGCTTTGGTATTCTAATGATGAGGCGCGAGTCCGCTCCGTAGACACTCTCTTTGACTCTGTCCTTCTCCTGGACCGGAGGACGAGGGCGTTTTGTGCGTGGACGGCCGTGCTTCCCCGGGAGGACGAGGGAGGTTGTGTTGTTGGTCGTTTGTGACGATGAGGAGCTGCTTTCGAGCACCGACACTGGACTTGAGCTCCTGAATTGGCTATGAGAAGAAGATGTCGAAAACGAATCTTCTTTCTTCTCAACCAATGATTCCTCTACAAAGCTTGTTGGCTTCTCCACCTTGACAATATCTTCAAACTGCAAATTTTCCACAATTAAAAGAAAATTTAGCGCAATGAAGAAGAAACCTAATTTAACTATAAAATCAAGCTAAATGGCGCAATTAGTTTCTACTTTAGTCATTAACGTTTGCATATGTGTAGAGACAGAACAAGCAAGAATGCGTATGTTAGCATAAAGAAACATTGTTAGACAAATAATAAAGCGGGAAAAAAGTAAAAAATCATGATTTAACTAAAACCCACCAAAAAAATGACAGATTCTTTTGAAGAAATGACTAATTATAAATTTGCGGTGAAATGTGTGATTGGTAAAAGGGCGCAGGTTAGCGTAAAGAACTGACCGGAACATAGAGCTCAGGAGAAGAGTCAGAGTTGGTGTTGGAGGAGAAGAGAGGATCAGAAGCGGCGGGCCACGTGTCGTGCTGAGTAGTCCAGATGTTAGGGAAAGAGTCGGAGTCACCGATGCCGAAACCGACATCGATATCTCCACCGGGGAAATCAAGAAGGTCGTCCATGTTGTCAAAGAAGTTGCCACAATCAAGATCCTCCGGGAAGCTTTGTCCAATCATCTTCTTTTACAGTTTAGCAATTAGCTGTAGCCAAGAAGAAAAAACAATTATTGATATGAGAGAATGAGAGAATTATGAGAGATGGGCTATGATGAATGATATATAGAGGAAAATGACAAGAGTTTGAACAGAAGAAGTTTCTCAAAAGTTTTTTTGAAATTTTTTGAACCAAATTTTGGAACCACCTTAAAAATCAAAATTTTGAAAAATAAACATTCTTTGGCCCACCTTTTCTGATTTTTTTTTTTGTTTGAAATAATGAGGACCATCCTAAGCACAAACTCAATTGCAATAGACCACTGGCTCTAAAAGTCAAAAGTCGCCGTTAATTAAGCATTCTTGATTATCTATCTAACTCTAACTATCTTTCTTGAATTGTAAAAAAGAACCCATTTTTCAGTTTTGTAAGTAACCAAAACAGAGTGCTGAGAAAAACAGAGCATTAAAGGATAACCCAAAAACAGCGAATTGCCTCCACCGACACTTCTTTAACACTGCAAAACCCCAACTTTTGAACACCACAGACTCCTAAATTCTTTCAAAATCAAGAATTTCCAAGAAAAGCAAAACCATCACCAAGAAGAATGGGAGTGAGACAGAGTCAAGAGAGGGAAATCGAACCTCTCTGTTCGTAGTGGTGTGCAGATCGTATGAGAGAGAGAGAAAGGGAATCAAAGTTTGAGAATATAAGAAGAGAGAGAGAGAGAGAGAGAGAGAGATTGCTTAGAAAGGAAAAGAAAGGAGTAGGAGTGGGGAGAAGTGAAGAGTGATTGATTGGGAAAAAATGGATGAGTAATGGAGAGCAATAGCTTCTCTCTTATTATTATAAAGAGTTAGGTGTGAGAGACACAACACTTCTCTCTCTCTATCTCTTTCTCTCTCTCTCTCTTCTCTTTTGCTGCTAGCTGTATTTTACCATTCCTTACCCTGTCTTCATGTGGAAGTCTCTTTCCTTCTTCCTCTCTCTCTCTCTAAACATTAAGAAATTTAAAATATCATTCATAATCTCAACTTCCCTCATGTGGGTTCCATTTCTCATTGAGACTTTACCAAAGATGATTTATTCACAAATCCTTGCTTAGCTGTACAAAAGTTGTATTTTTGTCTTAAAAGCAATCGTTTAAGTTTTTTAAAAAATTAAAAGAAAAATTGTTTGAATTAAAGTTAATCAGTCTTTTTATGTTTTCAACAAAGCTTATTTTATGCATTGTAACGCAAGATACAAATAAAAATACGTGAAATTCATAGGTTCATATTGTCACCAAAACATTAAATTGTCATTTAAGTAAAGAGTTGACGTAATTAGAAGAAATTATGGACTTTTAATTTTTAGATGAAAGAGTTTTCTTTTTAAAAGCTGTAAAATTATATAACGCGCATATTACTAGTCATGGTTTTGCTCCTAACGCTATATACACGAGAAAAGTCAATGAGATAATGGGAAGGTGAAATGGCACGAAGGGATACATTACGACGTTTACGCGTACATGTAATTCCAATTTTTTTTATGATCTGTTTACTTATTTTCTTTTTGTTAGCTTTCTTCCCATTGTTTTTGCCGCAGACTACGTGTTGCAAAGTAAAAGTAGAGACTTTTCTAAATACGTATTCCACATTCTTTTTTTTTTTTTCCTGTCAAAATACATACAAGTCTATTACTTAGTTTGATAAATAATTAAGCATATCAAAGCAAATTTGAATGGGATTTTTTACCTTTTTCATTAGTTGGCTAGAAAAAGGCAGGCAATATATAGATGCCCCAAAGTAAACCCTATAGATCAAGTGTTGATCATTTTCTTGTTAAGATATCTTGAAAATCAATTAAACGATCTAATCATTTTTTTTTCTGGTAGATATCATCATAAGAATTTTTTTCTAAGTTTCAAGTCTTACTGAACAATGATGATACAACCAATGATAAAAATAAACAAATAGGTTAACCAAAAAATCTTAATATAATAGTTTGTGGAGAACACTGTATCAACATCAACAAAATTCGAAGACACAATGAGTTCATAGCCAAAGAACTCCACATTCTTAGATAAATCCAATGAGATTATCTTCTGTATCACCATTTTCTTAATCTAACTTCAAATATACTCTTAGTTTCCTTACTTCAAGCACACTCTTTCCAAAAGAAATAAACAAATTATGATAAGAACAACACGATCTACCAATTTAATTTAATGCTGATTTTCAAAGGCTCTGCTTTTTCACTTTCTTTCTTTTATTTTCTTCTTTTTTACTTTTCATTTGCAGAAACTAACTTGGACTTCACTCCATACATATGATCACTTCCTTCTGAAAGACTCCAAATGACAAAAGCTATGTGTAGGCGTTTTTTAAAATATTCATATGTAACTATATACATATGAAGACATGTACTATATTTTTCTACATCTAGTCAATGGTTGTATGTTGATATCACTTCATGCATTGTAGCAAAATAATAAGCTTTTTAAATTAAAATTCATGCATATTAAGCTATCGAAAAGTTTGAACCTCAGACTATGGTTGGGACCAAAATGTTCGTATAACTGCCGGCAAAAAAAGCAAAAGCTTTCTCTTATACTATATGATAGATCATTAATCTTAAATAGACTAAGACATGTCAACAAACATTGATTAAAACGAGTAGATTTGTTTACAAAACGTTAGTTTCTCTAACCAAATAAGTTTTCGTACCAATAAAAGAACTCAAACGAACGATTAATAGCAATCAGGTAAGTGGTTTACGAAACGCCATATATGAGTATTGGTAAGACTTCTACACTAAACCGGAATATCTTTATCATACAAAACTAGAAGTTTATCAAATCAACAATTTATTGAAGAATTAAAATCTCAGCTTTCTTTATATTAGCACTTTGTATCAGAAAAAGGCTAAACTCCTAAAAAGACTTCTTTCTATGATCTCAATAAGTACGTCACTAAACAAAGCTATACTTAAATGTGTCCAGATCACATAGTATATGAATATAATAAATAAAAGAAATTGCCACCTCTATCACAAGAGTAATACAAATCCGTGAACTACATAATTATTAGTACAACAATAATGATATACAGAAATGTTGGCGGAGTAGGGGGTAGTAGTTAAACATTTCTATGTACGTTTGACCGTATTATGATATCGTATAATATACGATATTGAGAACCGTATGCGTATCTAGTCGGTGGAGAGAGTAAAGCATGTGCACAGAGAACAGGTGAAGGCGCGGGTGACTTGCGAGCAAGTAAGAGCCCATGTTTTCGTTAGGACCCACACTTTTGTCTAAAATACGTGAGAAGATACGATTGGGATCGGCCCCACGCTCATTTACACGATTATTTAAAAACAAGCGTAGTTTAATACTAAACCAAAGAAGATTAGAAGCGAGAATTTTGAAAGAAAAAGAAAATGATACTATCCTTCAGCAAATCACGTGGTTTTGCCTCGGGATCGGTTCTCTTACTCTGACAAATGAATATTTCAAACATAAACGAATAGGCAGGAGCCACGTGTCCAACAATCTCCACGTTAGATCATGTGACGGTGTGGGTCCTAGTAGTGTGCGAAACTATCTACAAGCTACTCTCTGGGGGAAAGAAAGAAGGACTCACTCAAAGCGTACGAATCTCTACTCTTCAACTCGAAAACAAGTCCTAGGATCAACGGATCAATTCAATTATTCACTATACTCTATGATCATCCACATGCACTGCCTTTTCTTTTTTGGAATACACAATTTTTTATCCGATTTTTTATATTATTTTATTCTGAATTGATGTGATTTGGACAATACATGAACCTCTGAAATTTTGTTATAAAGCAGTTTGTCAGCAATTCTTCACATGCTATTTCAACTAAAGACACCAAAAAAAAATACTTATTTTTATTTTGGTCGAAACCGATATCACTATAAAAAAAAAAGTAGTTGGGCTAGCAAACGACACCATGTACTTGGGTTTACTAGCATAGAAAATAGTTTGCTGAAGGACTTTTAGTCTTGCCTTTAAATTTCTGAAATGCATACTTGATAAAAAAAACAGATTGATTTGGATTGAGCGGGTTCACCGTTGTATTTTACTACGTTTGAAATATATTCGAGAAAATTGTTTTATATATTAGACAATATATACCATTTGGCATACAAAAGTAGTAATATATTTTTTAACCAAAAATAACAATTTACTGAATATGCTTCTGAGTGTGGGAGTCTTCTTATATAGCGATTGAAACGCTTGCCAACTATCAAACTCAGTTGGCCTTCCACGCTACTTGTCGAATAGTCTAAATCTTTAGCTTTTCCAATGTGATAACTCACAAATGAACTGATTTGCTATCCTACGTGTAATAGATCAAACAAATCTTAGGACATCACCAGTCTTCTCGAAAATACTAGAAGATCTATAATGCATCGCTACTTGTGATATTGCATCATATAACATATATATTGGCATATGAAACACTCGTGCCGATTACATGAGTATGTTCATAATTGTTATTTTACCGTTTATCACATTGTTCTCCAATCTCCATGACACATCCACACAACCATTTATTTTGAATCATCGTATTATATAATGCCTATCCACCACATCTACATCCAAGAACTTTTTGATTTTTCCATTTTTTTTGTTCAACGTTCGTTTATTTTTCCATTTCGCACTTGGACACAACAATTCTTTCCATTGCATAACAGAACGATGATTTTAAAAGCAAATTATTACTTATCAGTCAAATGAGTCACAGTTGATTTTTCATGATTCTCGAATTCGATGAACATCGACGGGAGTTTCTGCGCCATTCGTTGATATACTCATATACGCTAATATATATATGACGTGGTGTCGGTTACGAACTTTCGCCACATAGTCAAAATTAACAGTGACAGCTTATTTGTCATCAAGCTTCCATTAATCTTTCCGTTATGTTCGTCGTTGTAGTGAGAATTTATTACTGTTTTGTGAGTTGGTGCACGAATGAAGATGATATTATTGAATTATTGCTTATCTGTGATATTTCAACGATTTGACCTATTTTTCTATGAGCGCAAGTTTTAGCAGTTTTCATATATTTTGCACATACATTTTTTTGGGTATATTCGTATATTTCTTATCACATTTAGATGGTATCAAATTTTTTTTTTTAAAACCTCCCTTTTATTTCCCTTCCTTACGTTGTTATTATTTCTGTATATTCTTATAATGTGAAAGGTTGCAAGCACGTTTGAGAGTGACAGCAAAATTATGAGAATTGTTAATTCAATAATAATACGATAGCCAACAGTTTAAAACTATGAGCAAACGCCGACGTGAAAAAAAAAAATATATTAATCGTTGACAAGGAATCTGTGTATTACAGATCGATCGATAGCAGGTGTTGCCTTATTTCTATAATTTTTCTTCTAATTACGCTCGATCAGTGGAGTGTAAAAAAAAATTAAAACAGCGTTTCGGTGATAGATCACGTGCAAAAAACAGATAATACATAGATAAAACAAAAACTCTAATTCTAGTTTTACCAATATGGCAATATGGACTAGGTTTGATTGATTCAAAGTCGTTGTTAATTGATAGAGTAAACCCTCGGGTGAGTCTATGTAGATGTATAGATTGATTCAAAGTTGTTGTTAATTGATAGAGTATTAGCTTTGAGAACTGCTTAGTCTGCTTTCCTTTGAGTTTAACTCCGTCTTTTAGAGTTCATCGTGACATGCGATTGCGAATGTTCTAGTGATTGCGAATAGTCTATTGGTTGACCTAGCCAAATGATTACTGATAGCCTACCAAGTTTAGGTTCATTTCTCGAAAATACAATATTTTACCTCCTACCTAGAGATGCAAATTGTTCGGCAGAACATTTGTTTCAACGTGGAAGTGTGTAGACTATGTATGTAAATGAGTATATCGTAGATGGTTGATCGTATTTTGTTAGATGTTAAAAACTCACTAGTGATGCAAGTGTAACATACAATAAAAGGCCTTATAGTTGTTAAACTTCAAACAGGTATATACAAGTTTGTATATACTATTGAGAAAATGCAAAAAATAAATATTTTTGTGTGTAAACTATTACAAGATGATATATATAGTCAAAAGATGTTTATTTTTTTAAGAAAAGGAATAGAAAAACCAATAGTTTTTTTTGAAGTGGAAAAGAAAAAGCAAAGGAAAAAAAAAAGAGGTGAAAACGGAAAAACAAAACCGACGAATAGTTAGAGAGGTGTCGGTGCCGACAGATGGAACCGGAGGAACCTGTGACCCACTGAAAGAGACTCCTTTGCTTTCGGAGGCACGCAACGCTATTCAACCCCACACTTCTTATTGTTCATTAATCACACTCACCACTCTATATTCTGTAGTCCCATAACTCCATTTACCAAATTAAAAAAGAATTAATAAAAGTGTTCAATTAGATTCTTATCAGGTTGAGAAAGAAATGCATTTATGCCTCCATTTTTATATATAAAAAAGTGTGTGTATACCGTTTACGTTATCTTAAATAAGCAAATCTTGTTTTTTAGCTACTAACATAAACGCGAGAGATCAACTCTGGACATATCCAACGTTTAGAGATCAACCTTGTCGTGCTTGCTCTGTTAATGTATATGCATATAATTAAGAAGGGTTTAAGTTTTCTTGTGAAGTTGTGACAGAAGAAGCGCTGTTGAGTGATTCCCAAGTAACACTTTACTCATGAGTTCATAATTTAAAATGGTGGACTGAAGCACTCCTGTGGAGTTTCAGTCTCATCAACAAGTTTATTAAATTAATCTTGGATACAGAGAGCCAAAGCTGCCAAACTACTGATCCTTCCTATACCTTCGTTTTAGTAGTAAAAACGAATTGACATGGTAAAAGAAACACAGTAAAACACAGCTTATCTTACAAAGAAAAACAAAAAATAACCGAAATATCCTCCTCTGCTCCTGCATTATTGTTTGTTCGTTCTGAAGGAGGCTTCATTTTTCTTTCATTGATTTTGCAACATCGAGATAGTTAAGCCGACATGTGCCTAGTAGCAGTTCTGGTAGTTCCTCTACTGTATTTGCCTGCATGGTTCGTGTTAAATCATTACGTGATCCACAAACTAAAAAATAAATCTTACAAACTGTGGTTAAGTTTTGTTTAGTTTGCCCTTACCTGTATCAAAAAAGCCATTTCTATAACCAAATTGTTAAGGTACCCAAGAACAAGATTGGTTACTCCTCTTGCAACAGTTGAAGATCCAACATCAACGTCAAGCTGAGAAAGAAACAAAGCTCAAAAACATTATGTTTATTTTATTTCGGATCACATATACTGATATACATAAGATTGATTTTGGTTCATTTTTTTTTTACCTCCAAGTAGTTCTTGCCGCGGGTGTAACGAACTTCAAGTGCCTGACCCACCAAGCAAGCCTTCTTGCCAACACTCTGTTTCACAATCCATGAACCTTTGGAGATATGAGGGATGAGCTTAAAACGCGAGTTTCGATAAGCATCGTCACCATCCACAAAACTCTTTAGCAAAGGATGCTCTTCCAATGGAGTTTTCAGCATATAGTACAATGCTAGACTGTACATAGCCGAACCAGGGACCTGAATTCACAAATTTTCCTTCTAGTCAGTGTCTCTTAACTATGATAAAACCAATGTTTCTTAACTATAAGGTTGATCTCCAAAAATCACCTGTATGTTTACAACGAAGAAAAACTCAGGACCTCCTTTGGCAGCGAATTCTTGAACTAGACCGCCTAGTCGTCCACCAAGATCATCTTCTCGTTTATCAGAACTGATCCAGTCTGCTCCAATCATTTGCATCAATGTGTCTGTTGCCTTTACCTATTGTTTGAATATACATAGTACCAGCATCATTTATCATATGTGTTGAATTGGATTTAAGTTTCAAGAAGAACACAAAACACATTTTGTGAATCTTGAAAATGAGATTACCTTTTGGCGATCTTCTAGATAATTGCTTCCGCGAATCAAGAATGTGGATGGATCCGCGACAGACCAAGAACAAGGCTGAGAAAGATTTGGGTCTTTCTGAAGAGTGGCTCCATAGAAAAATGTGCTCTTTTCATCGATACCCAAGTCTTGTAAATCCATATAGCCTTTCTTGTTATTGGCTAGGTCTTGAAGTTTCTTGACAATACCAGATGGTGATATCTTGACCTGAGAATTTCCTTGCGAAAACGGAGAGTTATCAATCAGGCTATCAAACTCAGTAGGCTCAGGAACGTCGAAAAACTCGTCAGAGGCATCGTTCAAGTCCATCAAACTGTTACGTGCTTCAGAAGGTTTCTCAAAATCCTCAACCTTGACAAGATCTTTATCAATCCTTTTGGCTTCTGTTTTAAGGGGTCTAGTAGTGTTGATCTTGGACAAGCAGGAATTGGTTTCCATGAATTCGCCTGAGACAAACTCAGTGAAGCCGTGTCCTTGCTTTGCTTTGAACATCTCGCGTAATGCTGCAAGCCTCTCAACCACACGGATGGTTATGGATCTTGTAGAAGCTGGCCTCATGTATAAGTTCCAGCTTCTCCAATCAATGGCTACCATATGCTTCACTACTGATTGCTTGCCTTTGCTTACCGGAGTGATCACATAACCACCACCTATATATTACGAGTGCAAAATTCATTAACATTGGCAATGGATACTGAAATCAAATTCCATAAAATTTTGATCTTCAAGTTAGAGTGTGAAGCAAGAAACATTACTTTTGACACAAGCACGAACGTATCCTTTATTTGGTGGGCAATTCTTGTGATAGACAGAGTGGCAAAGTATCACTGTGATATGAAAAGGTTGAGAAGGTTATAAACCAAGAAATTCAGAAGATTTGATGAAAACTTAGAAATATGATCAAGAATTAGTTATTCTAATTACCATATGTTCCGTCTTCTTCCCTTCTCCAGTAGCGTCGAAGCAACAAGTCTCTTCGGTTCATGCCCCATGGCAACCAATCACTGTACATCTGGATATTAATAATATCTGTGTGTCCATCAAGATGCTCCACCACGCTGCCTTTGTAGAAACAGAAGTCCCATCTACAAGAAAATCCAGCAAAATTTCATTCTTCTACCTATATCCATCTAAATAAACCCTAAGTCGAAAACAAGGTTAAAGTTATAAAGCTTACTCTGATCGTAAGGGACCGAGAGACATTAAAGTGTTGAAGATATCCTCTGAAGCACCATCAATGACCCCAACCGCCATTATTGCTGGATGATCATCCCAATGCTGCAAGAGGTTTCAGCAAAAGACACTTAGTCAAAAAAAAATTATAAGATGATTCAGAAATGCAATAAAAAATGAACAAATAAACATTACCCTTCCACGAGAATCCCAGTCTTTAGCTTCTTTGAAAAGGCGTAAACCTGAAAACTCAAAAGCTTCGGTAAGAGCAGAGAACGGTTTCTTGAATCACAAGCTTCTTAAAAAGAAAATAGTCTCTCTTTTTTCTTACCGTTTTGGCATCCAAAGATTTTCCAAGGAGAAGGTGCAATGACATCAGATGCTACTGTTTCAACATTCAGTGATGATGATGAGTCACTTGTCCTCTCAACATTCGATAATGAGTAATTTGTCCAGTCCACTGAGTTTTTGCGGCGTGACCTCTTTGATACATCAAGCTTCACAAGTCCCTTCTCAGCATGAGATACAAACTCGCAATCCGGAAACTGTGATCCCTGGAAACATAAATCCAACTATATGTAAATAAGAGTCTATCAAATCTTATAATGTATACAGAAAATGTAAGAGATTTTTAAAAAACCTTTTGTGAAGCATCTTGCAATGATCGGATCCATTTGGCTGCTTCTTCAGGACTACTTGCTCCCAACTGCTCATTAGTAAAAAAAACCAACTTATTATGAAGACAAAAAAGCAACATGAGATGTAAAAAATAAATCCTTCTAAACAAACCTTTAGTTCATCCAAATGGTTCGAAGTGTTGTAAAGAGTAAATATGAAAAGGATCTGCAACAACACATGAAAAAAAAAAATACCAGTAAATTAAACCTATCTAATTTTTTTTACATAAATTTATCTAAAATTTTAGATATCTACCTTCCTATTGAAACTCTCTCTACCATTGTCGGTGACCCGAATACAGCAATCTAGAGATGCTCTTCTGTCCGGTTCCTATACAGAAACAAAACAAGTAAAACATAAAAGTTTCTTTTATATAAAGGAGTAAAACATAAAGTTTACGGTTGATATCGATTTTGCATGATTGCATCTATACGTAGTACGTAACACATGAACAAAACGTATCCCACAAAACAATGAAAATTGAAAAGGACAAACCTCGTTTTCATCGGATGGTACAGATTTAAAGCTTGTAAGGTTGTTGTCGAGAAGAACAAAATATCGTTTACGGGAAAATTGAAGGCCAAACCGGTTATGTCGGATGGTATAAAGCCAACCTTCCATTCTTCCGTCTTGTTGAGACATTATTTCCAATATTTCTCTACACAAAGCCCTTTTTTTTTTAGTTTTGGTTATCATAAAAACGATTCAAATTCTACTACAAAAGTTTACCAGGAATTGATTTTACCACTTTGAAATGCTTCTTCCCCGTAAACGAATATGTTTTCGAAATCACAATGTGCCTCGAATACTTAACTTGAAAGGATTCTCTTATTCCGCCGAAGCGAAATAGAGAATCAAAAATATGGAAGATCAGTTACGAAAATGGTTTTTAATTGTTTTGTTTTTCTCTCAATCAAGAGAGAAAAACAAACAATTTTTTTTTTGCTCTGCTTTTCTTTTTTTTTCTATTGCTGCTAGCCTGTTATGTTTCCTTTTGTTTATAAACTTTCAAACTTTGTTGGTTAAAATTTGCTTGCTAATTTTGTGTGAGGCTAAATGATTGGCGCTTCTGTCTTTGTGTTTAAATCCTATAATTAGTTGTTTATTTCTATTCCTTATGCCTCTATATATATTTTATTGTTTAAAATGTTAAAATGTACGGTGAACGACTCACAAATGAGTAGACATACGAACACATTCCACTACTTACGTTTCCACTATTTTAACAAGAATTCGTTTGTGTATTACTACTCTTACTCCAAAAACAAATTCAGTTTCTTACAAACAATAACGGGCCTAATCCATCTATCGGGCTTTACCCATTAATTTGCTATATACAGCCCAATATTTCTTGGACTTCTGATTTTTGTATTTCTCTTGTTTTGGCAACAATCTGAATTCTGATGTGTTAACAAGAAATAATCTGAAATATATTAGGTAGACAGAAACATCATCATATATTACCCAAAACAAGAGCATAACAGATAAGACTATGAATCTTCTTTTCCTTTGACAGTACTCAAAAGATTATCAATTATTGCCACAAAGTCTACTCTTTTGTCAAAGCAACAAAGTAAATTAGTTGTAATAGTAATTTTATGGTGTTAATTTTATGTCAACAAACACAAAGAAAAATAAAAAAAGACAGCTTTAAAGATTTTACCAACTCCACACACTAGACAACAATAGAGATACCTGCAAAAACCCAACTTGGGGCCCCCGCCATTACTTAACACTTACTATTTCCTCTGTTTTCCTTTTTTTCCTCTTCCGTTGTCTTAATCCTTGTACCTCTCTCTCCTCTCTTCGTGTAAGCAAAGAACCGATCTTTACACAATTTGGGAAACTCTTCTTTATTTCCCTGCAACCTCCAATGATCGCCTTGTTCCCGTGAAAGCTCGAATCCAGCTTCAGAAATCAGAACCAGCTGATTTTTTTTTGGGTATTTCCTACTTACATTTCGTTCTCATGTTTACAAAAATGTCGAATTCGACCACTAGTTTTGTAATGAGCTGCTAGGGTTTTTTGGGTTTTCGGTCTTCTTGGTTTCTCTGATGTGGTGGGTCTCATTTTGTTTGAGTTATCTTTGTTTGTTGAGATTCTGCTTTAGAGTATTGTCGATTTGATGTTTTACCAGATTCAGAGAAAATAAGTCTCCGTGTGTGTGTGACTGTGTGTTTAGTGTTTGTATACTTTCTACATTTTTCCCACTTTTGGAGTGAAAAATAGTTTAAAATTAGGCAAAAGGAAAATCAGAAAACAGAAACATCTGTTGAGAATGTGCACTTTCTCTTCAGTTTCCACAAGAATTGACTGAATTTAGTCATGTCAGTCTCTCAGAAAAATGAGTCAAAAGTCAATGCTTGAACATGTTTTGCCTGGAGATGTATAGTGTGCTATAAAGACTTTCTTTTTTTTCATATAATACACATAAAGTCTGAATAGTTACTAGCCAATTGATAACACTATTGTGAAGTCTGTTTAAACTTTCTTTTCTACAAGATTATAAAGTCCAGAATTTGATGTGTTTTGTTGTTGTTTCTTCTTCTTTTCAGGTTGATAGTTGAATGGATCCTGTACCTGTTCGGTGTCTTCTAAACAGCATATCTCGGTATCTTCATCTGGTCGCTTGCCAGACCATAAGATGTAATCCCATCCAAACATGTATTGGCAATGTGGTTCTCTTGTTGAAGCTCTTGAAACCCTTGCTGGATGAAGTTGTTGATTGCAAAATACCTTCTGATGACGGCTTAGATAAAGCGTGCGAAGACCTAGATTCCGTTGTTAACGAGGCTAGAGAGTTCTTAGAGGACTGGTCCCCTAAGTTGAGCAAGCTCTTTGGTGTAAGTTGGTAAATAAGCTCTTACATCAATGTTTCTGCATCTTTTTCAGCATTTTGATTTTTATTCAGTTAATTTGTTTGTGCAGGTGTTTCAGTGTGAGGTTTTGTTGGGAAAGGTCCAGACTTGTTCACTGGATATTAGTCAGATGCTTCTTAAGTTATCAGAGTCAAGTCCGGTTACTTCAAGCGTACAAGGTGTTGAGGTAAAGTAGAATTTTTCTTGATTTTTTTAGTCCTCTGTGTCTCATTTTAGCCACTTGTATTGATCTCTTGGAACGGTTTTTTTCAGCGTTGTGTGCAGGAGATTGAGAGTTTTAGGCAAGAGAAGACAGTAACTGAACACATGGAGAATGCTTTACGGAATCAGAAAGATGATCTTGTTGCACCTTTAGATAATCATGATCTAGACATCATTATTCAAATGGTGGGATTGACATCAAACCAAGACCTCTTAAAGGAGAGCATTGCTGTGGAGAAGGAGAGGACAAGATCTTTGGCAGCTAAGTCAAAAGCCAAAACGGAGCAAGTCGACCAATTGGTAGATCTTGTCTTGTGCATCCGTGAACACATGCTTAAAACCGAGTTTCTTGAAGTGGCTAAAGGTATCTCGATACCTCCGTACTTCCGATGTCCTTTGTCAACGGAGCTCATGCTGGATCCGGTGATAGTAGCTTCAGGACAGACATTTGACAGAACATCCATCAAGAAGTGGCTTGATAACGGGTTAGGTGTTTGTCCGAGGACGAGGCAGGTGCTGACTCATCAAGAACTCATTCCCAACTACACGGTCAAGGCTATGATTACGAGTTGGTTGGAGGCAAATAGTATCAACCTTGCTGTTAACTCTGTTAATCAGTATGATGCTGGTGATGCTTCATCCATGGCTAATAACTTGGGTTCTCAAGACTTTAACCGCACCGAGAGCTTTCGTTTCTCTCTAAGGAGCAGCAGTTTTACTTCGAGATCGTCTCTTGAGACCGGAAATGGGTTTGAGAAGCTAAAGATCAACGTGCCTGCAAGTCTATGCGGGGAGACTCAAAGCAAAGATCTTGAGATTTTCGAACTTTCTTCTCCGGGACAGTCTTATACTCACAGCAGGAGTGAATCAGTTTGCAGCATTGTCTCTTCTGTTGATTACGTTCCTTCTGTGACAGAAAGTGTTCCAGAGAATCACCAGAGCTACAGTGAGATGTCTCCCAAGAAAGACTCGGAAAGTTCAAGAAACGTTGGTCATGAATGTTCTGTACAGAACTTAGATGATTCAGGAACAATGATGGATTCACATTTTACAAAACTCGTTGAAGATCTTAAGTGTGGAACTAGCAAAGAGAAGACTGCTGCTGCAGCTGAAATACGTCATCTCACCATTAGCAACGTTGAGAATCGTCTTCACATCGGGCGTTGCGGTGCTGTTCCTCCACTGCTGTCACTTTTGTACTCTGAAGAAAAGGTAACGCAAGAACATGCAGTCACTGCTCTTCTGAATCTTTCCATTAGTGAGCTAAACAAAGCCAAGATTGCTGAAGCTGGAGCTATAGAGCCGCTTGTTCATGTTTTGAACACAGGAAGCGACAGAGCCAAAGAGAATTCAGCAGCAACGTTGTTCAGTCTGTCTGTTTTGCAAGTCAACAGGGAACGTATAGGGCAGTGTAACGCGGCGATACAGGCTCTGGTGAATCTTCTTGGCAAGGGAACGTTTAGAGGGAAGAAAGATGCTGCCTCTGCCTTGTTCAATCTCTCGATAACTCATGAGAACAAGGCTCGGATCGTGCAAGCTAAAGCTGTTAAGTATCTTGTGGAGCTGTTGGAGCCAGATTTTGAGATGGTTGATAAAGCAGTTGCTCTTCTTGCAAATCTTTCTGGGGTTGGAGAAGGGCGTCAAGCTATTGTGAGGGAAGGAGGGATTCCGTTGCTTGTTGAGACTGTTGACTCAGGATCTCAGAGAGGGAAAGAGAATGCAGCTTCTGTGCTGCTTCAGCTGTGTCTGAACAGTCCAAAGTTTTGCACTTTGGTATTGCAAGAAGGTGCAATCTCTCCACTTGTTGCCTTGTCTCAGTCTGGCACACAGAGAGCAAAAGAGAAGGTAAGATACTTCAGCTTAAATCTTATCCAGTCACAAGATAACACGCCAAGTTATTAGCAATATGGATTGAGATATCTTAGTATCATTGTTGTTTGCAGGCACAACAACTTCTTAGCCATTTCCGAAACCAGCGAGAAGCAAGGATGAAGAAAAGTAGGTCATGATTCATAAAGAAACAGAGTTGTGTTCTTCCATTTGGACATTCCCCTCTGGAGATTTATTCTGTTTTGTTAGTAGAAAATGTTCTTTAATCTTCCTTTTTTGCCATGAACATTAGCTGGAAAATAGTTTATTTTTGTGTTGGGTTCTTGTTATGTGGCGAGTGTGTTGTAATGTTTTTGTGTAGTAGTCATATTTATATGTGCAATTTGTGAGTTCTGAGTATATATGGGCAATGGATTTCTTACTACATGATAACACATTTACATAAGTACTTCATGGAACTAAAAATGTGAATCAACACTCCTCAAACTCAAGGCAGTGGATCCATATTTGGTGATTTTAATAATGATGAGTTTTTAGTATTGGGGCCGATTATATCAAGAAAGAGGCATGAGAGTGAGGAGAGACATAAAACGGTGTAGTGATCACGTTAAGACTTACCTGTCCACCAATCTGTCACATCTCTCTATTTCTACACAATTTCTTTATTACTATTATTCCTCTTTTTATATAATCCAACACACTTTGGTCACCTTCTCTATTTCTTTCTCTCTCTCTCCCCCATACAAATTCTGGTCTCTCTCTCTCTCTCTCTCTCTCTCTCTCTCTTTCTCTCAGACACACACGATCCAATGACGACGAGCAACAACGTGAACGGATGTTTTGGAGACACGAAGCTGACCAAAGTGTTCGTAGGAGGATTGGCGTGGGACACACACAAAGAAGCAATGTATGATCATTTCATCAAGTACGGTGACATCTTGGAAGCTGTCATCATCTCCGACAAACTCACTCGCCGTTCCAAAGGCTACGGCTTTGTATTTTTCCTCTTCTCTCCCTTCTTCTTTGTCTCACTTCTTCTTCTTTCTTTCTCATTTTTTGTTTTTTTTTGTAGGTGACTTTCAAAGATGCTGAAGCCGCTAAGAGGGCTTGCGAAGACTCGACTCCGATCATCAATGGCCGTCGTGCCAACTGCAACCTCGCCTCCCTCGGTGGCCGCCTTCGTAGATCACCCACCATTGCTCAACAAGGTCCATATATATATATATATTTATTATAACTGAAGGATCATAGTCCGAAATTCAAACTAGTCTTTATGACCCTGAAAGAGTTGGGCGATCTTACCAGTTACCATTTAAGGCATCTACATTGATCATTGAACAAAATCACAGTGAAAAAAAAATGAAAATGTATAACTTGAATACACAAAAAGCCATATACACATATATACATTGGTTATCACGTCATAAATGAATGTGTATATGCTGTAATGGAAAATGCGAACATTGTAATTTTACAATTTTGAAAATAGAAAATCAAACCATTTTTGTTATTGAGTTGGCAGAAAATAATGCTTCTCTCAATTTAGTTTAAGATATACCACAATGTAAAAAGCAAAAAATTCAAAAAAAAAGTTTTGATCTAGGCAGGGCTTATTCCTTCAAACCAAGGTTTAAATTGTGCTATTTGAACTTTGTAGAAACAATATAATCTTCCAAAATTAATCTTAACATTATTATCATTATGATGTTTTGAAATGTGAAGGATCAAAGAGTGTGAGTAGGGTCACGTCAGCACATGTAGGGAATAATCAAGCTCAATGGTACTACCCTGTCGGATACACACACCAGCATCATCAACTTCAACAACAACATCTTCATCATCAAGCCGTTCCTTTCTATGGGTAAATTTATTTCTACGGTTTAATCTTCTTGAAAATGTACTTAAATAAGGGTATAATTTGATAAGTTTAGTTTACTATTAAATTAAAATTTAAAGGTACCCTTCCTCCTACGTTGCCCCGAACATGACCTTCAATCAAGTAAGTCTTGTTATTTCTAGTTAAAACTAAGTAAAGCATATGCTTGAACTATATGATCTTCAACACTTATGAAATTATTTTTGTTATGAACAGAAAGTTGGATACGTTGGAGGAACCTATATGAATGGATACTACGCACAACCGCAACCGCAGCCACAACCGCAATATTATCACCACCATCACATGTATGGTGGAGGACGAGTAATGGTTGGAGCAAGTCCGATGATGCCTCTCTACACTGTCTATCCTTACCATCAATCTCAGGCCATCGGTTTTCCTCAACCTACTTTTTCGAAACCCCTTTCCTTTTCCACTCCTCCCATATCAGGTACTTTTTGTCAATCTATTTTAAACCTTATAAAATTATAATGAAAGCTACTTTACTAAAAAGATATCCACAAGTTACATATTTGACTCATCATCAATTTATGACCCTAATATTTATCACTTAACTACATGCAAATTACTAGATTCATATGTCAGTTTGTATTGCGATCTTAATTAAATAATTGAAGTTTGTATTTTACCAAAAAATAAGGTTGTAGAAACGTACAAATATTCATATGGTTAAACGAAAAATACAAATGAGAGAAGTGATCATTCGTAATTTTTTAATTGAGCGAGAAATGTAATTTAGTTGTTTGTATCGGTGTGGTCAATGTATTTGCATACCAATGATTTGAAACCCGCATATAGTTTTACAATCCTTATCCAGCTAGCATTTGTCTATCCATCTACTGTTTTGACTATAAGTGCACAACAGCACAAACTAAATCGGGTGAGACATACACACACATGCACACACAAGTTGGTCACGTTATTTTGCATATGTCAGTCGTCATGGCCTCATGTGCCCCATGATGTGGTATCACATGGATCCACCTTCGTCAGCTAGCTAGACTCTGCTTTGGCACGTGATGCCTCGTTGTAGCACGTGTCTCTGTAATAATTTAGCTTATGAATTCATAAAGAAACAAAAGGCAACCCTTACATGCAAGATCTTCGTGTCTCGGAAAATATATTAAACTCTGATCTAACAAAATAGAGATTCTTTTGACTCTCGAACAGGTACAGTTGGAGGAGGAGAGATCCTAAACAAGAAGGCCATACATTGATGGTTAGGCTACAAGCCGGTTGATCAAACGACTCACCCCAAAACTTATTCATTTTCTCCATCTCAAAATGTTTTATTTTTACTAGAGACATAAATCAAATTTTAAGAAATGAAATTCTTTTACATTTAGTAATTTATTCATTGAAGCTACCTAATGGAGTTCTGTTTTAATAATTAAGCTCACTTTATTCGAATTCGATGAAGTGTTCTACTTCCTCTAATCCGTATTTCTTCTCTTAAATCACAATTTCAACTGATTGATTAACGGCAGCTAGTAAAAGAACTAATAAGTCAGGAGCCAAGTATCTCACTCCAAAAGAAAGAGAGAGCCCTGTAAACAACTAATCTGAATGGAGAAAACTAAGTAATAAAAAGTGTTGGAAACGAGGTTTTTTCTTCAAGCAATCTCTAGTTCGAAAGATTGTTTAGATTTTTATAGAAAAATGATAGATCAAATATTCACACAAAAATTAACATATTATTATCAATGTGATACCATCTAACTTGAATCATACAAAATACATATGTTATCGAAAAAAGACAGCTCAAATTCTACTGAAAACAGAAAGAACCTAAACAGTAACCTCTCTTAGTCATGATGAGTCTCTTCTGTGCAAGTTTTCTCATTTCTTGAAATCACAACTTCACATTAGAATAGCAAAATCATGTTTTTTCTTTGGAACCTTAATTTTTGAATATAAAGAATTGGGATTTAGCGTCAAAATTGTAGATACTAATGAATTGGTTATACGATTCAACGTCAAAAGTACAGAGTAGTAATGTTTAAATGATGCTTCACTTTCAAAAATTTGGTACTAAAACGAACCATTTAAGTCAAAATGCACAAATACGGAAAACTGAGAAAAAGGTTCTTTTTGTAACTTTGAAAAGTTTGAGCTGAAAAGTCAAAACAATTAGGGTTAAAACAAAATTGGAGAAAAAGCCATCTCGATCATATATGTTATCGCTCTCTCTCACCAAATCGCCTTTTCTTCTTCTCCACACTCGACTCTGTATCTGAGAGTCTGAGACCCAAATCCCTCACCTTATTACTTTTCTCCAATTCTCACAAGATCGAAAGAGGTAATTCCATCGATTTCAGCTCTCCCATTGTTGATTTCACTTTCCAGTGTCTGTGAAATCTGGAACTTTTCCCCGATTTCTCTTCCAAGTTTCGGCTTACTAGATCCGTCGATATATTGAGTGATTGAGCTGCAATTACACAATTCCATGGAGGAACAGAGGGAGGAAAGCGATTTCGTTGGTGATTGCAGAGAGCCCATGGAGGAAACTGGTAAGGGGCTAGGTTTATCTTCTGAAGCTGAAACCCTAGATGGTGAATTTGATATTCAGGAGTTAGAGTCTTGTATTGAAGATGCCAACGCGATTCAGGTTTCGGGTTTAGGTGTTTGCGATGTTAGTGTGACAGCTGAAAACCCAGATGATGGAGGCTCAGCTTCTGAAGATGACAATTCGAATGATTCGGATGAGGTGGAGTGTGAAGGAGATGCTGCTGTTGAGGTGGAGCCGATAGATGAGATTGAGGGCTCTGAGCTTTGCAATGAGACGGTTAAATTAGTTGAGGTTGTTGAGAGTGAAAATGGTGGAAGTCATGAAATTGCAGGAGAAGAGAAGAGTGCAATCTCTGGTGGGAATGAGAAGGAGATATGTGAAATTGAAGATAATGGCGATGCCGAACAAAATGTTCAAACTGAGAAGTCGCAGCAAAGTTTAGCTGGTGGTGAGATGCTTTCTGCTGCAGAAAATGAAGCTGACCAAGGAAAGGAATCAACAGAGAGAAGTGAGGAGGTTGTTGATAGCGAGCAAGAAGAGAAGGAAGAGAAAGTGGGTCTTTCTTACAATGAGCAGGGAAGTTCAGGATGCGAGACAGCAGATGCTAAGCATTCAGAATCTGCACAAGTTCCAGAGGAGCCTGCTGAGTTAAGCAATGGGGAATCGAACGAAGAAAACGGAGAAGGTATGGAAATCGATTATGCTGCAGAGGAACAGGTGGGAGATGATGTTGAAGTAGGTGGCGCTTTGGATAATGGTGTAAATGAATCTGCTGGTGCCACTGTGGTACAAATCCAAGTTGAAGCTGACGAGAATGATTCCAGTGTAGTAAATGAGATGGAAATTGATGAAGAAAAAGAGAATGTTGGTATGGCAACTGATCTTACTGACCCAAACAGTCCCTCTGAAGATGCTGCTACAGGTGAAGTTGAACCGTTGGAACATAATGGTCTTTTTGATCCAAGTTCTGATATTACCAACTTTATTGATTTCAGTGGTGTATCATGTTGGTCAGGAAATATACAAGACCTTAAAACCGAAACGAATGTATCTCTGAAAGAGGATAAGAAAGCAATAGATTTGCCAGAGGAAGTTGCCACAGTGGATTGTAAGGAGGCCCTTAAATCTGGTGATGCAACAGTAAATGCTGAATCCCATGATAATCTAAGCTTAAGCGCTGAAGGTATTCAAAATGAAGAATCTCCAGCTGCTGCTACAGAGTGTCCAAGAGAGGCTTCTGATGCAATTATGGAATCTGATGAAAACCAAGAAGAGAAGGTTCATGAAGGCTTAGATCAACAAGATGCTATGAGAGAGGAAGATGACACTACTCATGAAGCTCCAAGTATCGAGCCAAACCAAAAGGGAGATACAGAAATGGAAGAAAATCCTGACAATTCTGATTATGGTGATGATGGAACCGACTCTGATATTAAAACCAATGGTGTGAAACGAAAGGCTGATGTCCTGAGTGAGGATTCACCAGATGAAGGTAGGAAGACTGTTTCAGTTGCGAAGGTGTCGTTTGCCCACAGGCCGTCCTTTAAGATCGGTGCAGGCATAGCCAGAGCTGCAAGCCAGATGGCAGGATCTCCTTCAGTTTTGAAGGGTGGTAACATTGGTGAAGAAACTCTTTCTGTTGAGAGTTTCGTATCCCAGCTTCACTGTGCAGCAACAGACCCTGTAAAAGAGAACGTTGTATCTGAAAGTGCTGCTGGCTTTTTCTTAGAATTCCGGAACTCATCAGCTTCGCAGGAAGCTGCCCCAGAAAAGGTCGGCGGTAGAAGAGGAAGACCTTCCAATTCGAATGCAGGAGGAACCGAGGCATTTGAGTTTGAGGAAATGGGCGACACATACTGGACTGACAGGGTGATCCATAATGGTGGTGAAGAGCAAACGCCAGCTACCGAGAAAGGAGACTATCAAGTTGTGCCAGTTGAGTTGAAACCTGCTCAGGTCAAAAGGACTCGCCGACCATACAAAAGACGGCAGTCTCAGATCAGTATTCCTCTTCCTTCAGCCTCAGACAAACCGGCTGACTTTGATGAGAATGCACCAGCTGAGCTTATCATGAACTTTTCTGAAACGGATACAATACCTTCTGAGAAGAGCCTGAGTAAAATGTTCAGGCATTTTGGACCAATAAGGGAGTCGCTGACTGAAGTTGACCAAGAGAATAACCGGGCTAGAGTAGTTTATAGGAAGGGTACCGATGCTGAAGTTGCTTACAACAGCGCAGGAAGGTTCAGTATCTTTGGGGCGAAGGCTGTGAATTACGAGCTCAGATACACAATAACCGAAGCATTCAAAGTTCAGCCTTATGTTGTGTCTTTAGGGGAGGAGGATGCAGCATTATGTCTTCCATCCTAGGTGTAGTTTTGCTTCAGGCATGGTTCAGGTAAATCTACTTCTTTTGTACTGCTTCTTATGTTTTCTTTCATGCTCGAATACTTCAACTATAGAGCCTACTTGATTAAAATCTGATGTGTTGCTTATCTGAATGCATAGCTTTTTTTTTTATAATGGTAGTAATAACAAAAGATGCAGACTTTTTAAACATAATAGCCCGGTAGATCCAAGCTAGGAAGTTGAGACCCATTAACACATATAACACAACGAATTGATGCTGTCCTCTCTTTGCTTGTTGTGTTCATCGTAAAAGAGCATATATGGAAATCTTCTAAGGTATCTAAATTTGTTTTGTATTCCAACAATGAGCAGGCATCAAGAGAAGTAGACAATGAAGGGACTCAAATGGACTGAAGGCTCTTCTTGCTTGTGTTTCTGTTACCGTTTAGGTAGAGGTTAGGCTGTGTAATATGAGAAAACATGTATTATTGTCAAGGCTAGAGAGATATCCCCACATTTGATTTGCTGTTGCTAAGCCAAGTGATGTTAGCAAAGTGCTGTTGCTGGTTTACTAGGCGAAGTAATTTTGAGCAGCAAATTGGGAGACTTAGGTGAGATGATTCGACTAAAGTTTAGCGCTTGTCAAACTTATGTTCAATATTTGTGTTACTTTTTTAACTTGATTACCATTGATTTAAAATTTTCAAGCTGCCACGAATACACTCCAACGCAGTCTCAAAACAGACCTTTTTTTGTCCTAAAATCAGACAAAACACATACAAGATGAGCTCTAATTCTTTTCAGCAGAAGACTTCTCACCTAGTAGCCTTAGTCTCGCTACTTTTAATCTATGCTTCTATAAAACTCTCAAGCATATCAATCAGCATCAGTCGGTTGATCGGGTACATGCTCCTTGAGAAGCTTATTAAGGGAATCAAGAGAAGCCTGTGAAAACATTATGAGACTATTTAGAGCAGAAAACCGAAAGAAAGAAATTGAATATGATGATGATCCTCGTTTTCTTTCATAGTGACTGACGCTGGCCTCTTATATAAGCAAAATTGTGTACATATCTGCGAGCATCTCAGGAGCATAATCTTTGTTTCCACAGGTCTAGTGAAGTTAATTTACTGATTTTTAACCAAACTGTTTCGTTTCGAGTGCCAAAAAACGGGAAATCCGTAATAAAAATAAGAATTTGAAAAATACAGTCTTGCAGGGTTTATTTCGAACAAAAGAAAAATGCAACGTGGATGAGATCAATACGGTTGATTATGCAGGCATCATAAAACCCTGAACAGCCGAAAGAGCTCTTGGTATATATATAGCTCTCTCCATTTCTCTAAGAAGAAAAAGAAGGTGTTCGTGACTGCTGTTCATATCACACTCTACTGACGAATTTGTTGTGCCGTTCACTTCACCAGTTTAGATATCGACTCTCTCTTCGGACATTGCCTTTTCTTCTTCTCCACACTCGTCTCTGTAACTTGAACCCCAAAGCTCTCACCTTTTTCTCCGTTTCTCGCAAGTTCTAAAGAGGTAAAGTCCGTCGATTTCAGCTTTCCTATTGTTAATTTCAGTAAAGTTTGGAGCTTTCATGCTTATTGTGAATGAGATACCCATTTCCCCGAATTTTTCATTTCTGTTTAAAGTTTCGGTTTTTTTTTTTAAATAATGTATTCGTGGATATGCTGAGTGATTTTGAGCTTCAACCAGGTGATTTCAATGGAGGAACAGAGAGAGAAAAGTAGGTCTGTCGGTGACTGTAGAGAGCCCATGAAGGAAGCTGGTTTATCTTCTAAAGTTCAAACCCTAGTTGGTGAGGATGACAACACGGTAAAGGTTTCGAATTTAGGTGTTTCTGATGTTAGTGAGGCTGATGCGAGCTTAAAAGCGGCAAATGGCAAAGTGGGTGATTCGGTATCTGTTGTTGGAAGTGTTGAGGATGTTGTTGAGACTAAGGATAACGTTGAGGAGAGCAATGTGGTTAGCTCTGTTAGTGGTGAGGTTGAGACTAAGGTCAACGCTGAGAAGACAGTTAGCTCCGATGATGTTGAAAGGGCTGTTGCTATCACAGAGCGTGAAACTGAGAGAAACGGCATGGACGTAGATGCTGGAGCTGTTGTGGTAAAGCCAGTAGAGGGCTCTAAGCTTTGTAAGGATGTGCAGAGAGTCAGTGAAATGAAGAAAGGAGAAAACTTGGAACTCTTCCCAACTGATCTCATCACCGAGATGTTCTCCAGATTGCCGGCCAAGTCAGCTGCTAGGTTTCGTATCCTCTCCAAGCAATGGGAATCCATACTTAGCAGTCCAGATTTCAAAGAGCTGTTTCTGGCCAAGTCTCGGGCTCGTCCACGTCTCCTATTTGCGGTCTTTCGATACGGCCAGTGGAGCTTCTTCTCATCGCCACAGCCTCAGTATTCATCTGACAAGCCTCTTGTACTAGCCGCTGATTTCCATACCAAGTTCTCTGGAGACGCAAGCAGATACCCTTGTAGCTATGCTTCTGGTTTGCTCTTTTTCCCGGACATGTTCATCCCAGGAGAGGGAAGGTATTCACTGCCTGTGCTACGTAGCCCTGTAACGGGACAGTACAAGAGCTTGCCTTATGTGAGCGTTGGCAGACACTGTAGAAGCTTCTTAGGGTTTGATCCGATTGAGAAGCAATTCAAGGTATTGACTGAGGGTGATCGATTTGCTAGAGAAAAGAATCGTCATCAGGTCCTGACATTAGAAACTGGAGAGCTGAGTTGGAGGAGCAAGCCCGATTGTCCCAGATACAGTGGTTGTCTGTGTGAAGCTACATGCATCGATGGTGTTCTTTACTTCTTAGCTGACCACGTTCTTGATCTGCCTCGTGCTCTAGTTTGCTTTGATGTCAGGACTGAGGAATTCAAGTTTGTTGCTGCAGAATGCTTTACTGATCCAACTGCTACTAAGTTGGTAAGCTACAAGGGTAAATTGGGTGGTGTGAACTGCAAGTATGTTAAAGTTGATGGAAGGCATAGCCTTGAGTTGTGCATGTGGGTTCTTGAGGATGTGGAGCAACAGGAGTGGTCGCACCATGTGTACACTTTCTGGGATGATAAATTGGGTTATCCTTGCAATGCTTCTGTCGCTGGAGTGACTTCTAATGGTGAAATTGTGCTGTCGTTGGGGTATACATGCAAGCCTTTCTATGTTTTCTACTTCAGTCCCGAGAGGAACACTCTCCAAAGCGTTGAAATCCAAGGCTTTGGAGCGAAATTTGAAGCGGTTGGGACGCGTGGTAGAGTTCATGCCTTTCTTGATCATGTGGAGGATCTTAGTGTTTACGATGCAGTCGCAAAGCACCTGAAGTCAAGCGTTTCTCCACCATCCACCTGTGAAGAAGAAGAAGATGAGCCTAGTTGTCATTAGCATCGAAGAGGAAAGAGAGAGAAGGACGGAGACATGAGGTATGATGATGGTGTCAGTAGTAGGGAGAAGAGAAGGGATAGGTGAAAGCAATGGGCATGTCATTTTGTGTTGTTCTATCTAATATGTTTATGTTATGTAGTTATGGACGTTGGTAGGTCTTTTGGAATCAAATCTAGCTTTTGGTAATGTAATGAGATGCATACAGAACTCTTGCAGAGATGAGAGATGTATGTACCCTTCTCTTACTCTTTTGATTAACCAAGTCTTTTGCTAGTTCCTTTTGTCATCATGTTTGGGTATTTCATCACTAAAGTAGAGACAAGTCAAGAATTTTGTTTTCCCATGAAAAGTGATCCCTTTATAGCTGAGTCTTGTAGAGTCAATGACTGCCTCTGTGAGAGCCACTGCCTCTGCTCTCTAATACTGAGGTCGTTGGTTGTACAAAAGGATCCAAGCTTTTTCCAGCTTCTCTGCATTGGAAGAGATGATTCGCAGTTTCAGTGTGATCTCCACATAGCATACTCTATTAGTTTTAAATTCCTCTTCTTATCAAAGCTTCTGCAACAGGTGACTTCATTGCTAGCCATTGTCCCCCAAAAAGCCTAATCTTTCGCATAGTAGATAAACTCCATATCACTATATCAGTGGAGAGGGAGAGGGAGAGGGAGCCATTTTGTGAAGCTGTTTCAAGTAAACTAAACAAGAGGGAGTGTATAATAAATAAAGAATCTTTTGGGGATTTTATCTCGAAACAACAGGAAAAAAGGGAAAAATTGAAACGTGGATAGATCAAATACGGTCGATTAAATGATGCATCATCATAAAACATTAAAAAACCTATACATCCCTAAATTCGTGAGCTTCTTCGGTGTTTGCTCTCAAAGTCCGAAACTTTTTTGTGTCATCTCTACGAAATCCATTTCTCGAAGAGAAGAAAGAGGAAACACTGTATGGTGGTGTTCATGACTGGTGTTCATAACACGCTCCGCTGAATAATTCGGTGTGCCGTTCATTTTACAAGTTTAGATCTCTCTCTCTCTCTCTCTCTCTCTGGAAATCGCCATTTCTTCTTCTTTCTCGAAATCCACACTCGTTTCTGTGACTGAGACCCAAAGCCTTCACCTTGTTTCATTTCTCCAGTTCTCACAAGATCTAAAGAGGTAATTCCGTCAATTTCAGCTTTCATATCGTTAAAATTCAGTGAGAATCTGAAAAAAAAAAATCTGGAATTTTTTCCATTCTGTTTCAAGATTCGGTTTTCTATATATAGTATTCGTGGATAGATTGAGTAATTTTTAGCTTCAACTAGGTGAATTCCAATGGCGGAACAGAGAGTGGAAAGTGAGTTTGTTGGTGATTGCAAAGAGCCCATGGAGGAAGCTGGTTTATCTTCTAAAACTCAAACCCTAGGTGGTGAGGATGCCAACACGGTAGAGGTTTCGGATTCAGGTGTTTGTGATGTTGGTGAAGCTGATGGGAGCTTAAAAGCTGGAGATGGCAATGCTCGTGATGAGAAACAAGTGATATCTGAGGTTGGAAGTGTTGAGGATATGGCTGAGAATGAAGATAACGTTGAGGAGAGCGGTGAGGTTGAGAAGACAGTTAGCTCTGATGATGTTGAAAGGACTGATGCTATCACAGAGCTGGAAACTGAGAGAGATGACATGGAGGGAGATGATGGAATTGTTGAGGTAGAGCCGGTAGATGAGACAGAGGGCTCTGACCTTGGTAAGGATGTGCAGAGAGTTAGTGAGATAGCTAGAAATGGTGCAAGTCATGAAACTGCAGGAGAAGAGGAGACTGTTACCGCTGCTGGGAATGAAGTGGCTGCTGAGAAGGAAACATTTGAAGTTGAAGAAAACGGTGGTGCAGAAGAGAAAGCAGACCAAGAGAAGGAATCAGCAGGTAAAACTGAGGAGGATGATAACAAACAGGCGAATGAAGAGAATGGTGGTCTTAATGAACAGAGAAATCCGGGATCTGAGACCAAAGATGCTAAGCATTCAGAATCTGCACAAGTTCCAGAGGAGCCTACCCAATCAAGCAAAGAGGAAACGAATGAAGAAAACCCAGGAACTGTTTCAGAAGTTAGCTCTGCTGCTGTTAACCAGAATGAAGAAAACGGAGAAGCCATGGAAATCGATGATGCGGCAGAGATACAAGTGGAAAAGGATAATGCTGGAAATGAATCTGCTGGGGAAGCTGACAAGAATGATTCCAATGCAGCAAAAGAAATGGAAATTGATGAACAGAAAGATATTGAGGATGTGGCAACGGGTCTTACCGGAACAGTTGAATCTGCTGATTCAGCAAACCCAAACAATCCCTCTGAAGATGCTGCTACAGGTGAAGTTGAGCCGATGGATCAAAATGCTCTTTTTGACCCAAGTGCTGATATTACCACCTTCATCGATTTCAGTGGTGTTTCATCTTGGTCAGGAAATATACAAGACCTTAAAACCGACGCTGGGAATGTATCTTTGAAAGAGGATAAGAAAGCTACTGGCATGGCAGAGGGAGTTGCCACGGTTGAGACCGTTAAACCTGTTGACGCTTCAGTGAATGGTGATCAACCAAGCGTAATTTCCAAAGGCATTGGGAGTGAATCAAATGATGCCCATGTTGCTATAGTTTGTTCAAAAGAGGCTTCTGATGCAGTTATGGAACCTGATGAAAACCAAGAAGAGAAGGATCATGAAGGCTTACATCAGAAAGCAGTAGATCAACAAGATACAATGAAAGTGGAAGATGACACTGCTCATGAAGCTCCAAGTATCGAGCCAAACCAAAAGGAAGATACAGAAATGGAAGAGAATCCATACAATTCTGATTATGGTGATGTTGGAACCGGCTCTGATACTAAAACCAATGGTGTGAAACGAAAGGCTGATGTCCTGAGTGAGGATTCACCAGAGGAAGGTAGGAAGACTGTTTCAGTTGCGAAGGTGTCGTTTGCCCAAAGGCCGTCCTTTAAGATCGGTGCATGCATAGCCAGAGCTGCCAGTCAGATGGCAGGGTCTACTTCAGTTTTGAAGGGTAGTAACATTGGTGCTGAAACTCTTTCTGTTGAGAGTTTCGTATCCCAGCTTCACTGTGCAGCAACAGACCCTGTAAAAGAGAACGTTGTATCTGAAATCGCGGCTGGGTTTTTCTTAGATTTCCGAAACTCGTCAGCTTCGCAGCAAGTTGCCCCAGAAAAGGTCGGCGGTAGAAGAGGAAGACCATCCAATTCGAATGCAGGAGGAACCGAGGCATTTGAGTTTGAGGAAATGGGCGACACATACTGGACTGACAGGGTGATCCATAACGGTGGTGAAGAGCAAACGCCACCTACTGAAAAAGGAAACTATAAAGTTGTGCCGGTTGAGTTGAAACCTGCTCAGGTCAAAAAGACTCGCCGACCATACAAAAGACGGCAGTCTCAGATCAGTGTTGCTCTTCCTTCAGCCTCAGACAAACTGGCTGACTTTGATGAGAATGCACCAGCTGAGCTCATAATGAAGTTTTCTGAAACGGATACAATACCTGCTGAGAAGAGCCTGAGTAAGATGTTCAGGCATTTTGGACCAATAAAGGAGTCACAGACTGAAGTTGACAAGGAGAACAACCGGGCTAGAGTAGTTTTCAGGAAGGGTGCTGATGCCGAGGTAGCTTACAACAGCGCAGGAAGGTTCAATATCTTTGGGACGAAGGCTGTGAATTACGAGCTCAGCTTTACAATCACGGAAGCTTTCAAAGTTCAGCCTTACGTTGTGTCTTTAGGCGAGGAGGATGCAGCTCTATCTCTTCCCTCCTAGATGTAGTTATGATTCAGCATGGTTCAGGTAAATCTGACCTGTGTTTTAACTTCTTCCTACGCGCTTAAGATATTTTTCGTTCATGTTTGAATGCTTACTGGCTTGAAGGTTGATGTGTTGTTAATAGCTAAGGTGTATACTTTTTCAAATGTGTAGTAGAGTGTAGACCGAGTAGAGTTGGATATATGGCATAGTAGTAGAATGGTAGATTCAAGCTAGGAACTTTAAAAGACCCATTAACACATCCTCATACATAGTAGTCTTTGCCCTGTTGGGTTTTGCTTAGAAAGGGCATATATGAAGTTCTTGTAAGGGGTTGTAAATTGATTTTGGATTTAAACAGAGTGGTTGATTATGTGTTTCAGGTGGAAACAATTGGCAGGAATGAAGCGAAGTAAAAGATGAAGTGGCTCAATGGAATTTGGAGGCTCTTGCTTATGTTTTGTTACCTTTTAGGTAGAGATTTAGGCTGTGGAATAGTTTGAGAGAACATATGTGTTCTAGAGACAAGAGTTCATGGTTATGTCATGTGTATTTGCTGTTATTAAACCCAAGTGATGTTAGGAGAAGAGTGATGTTGAATAATTTAGCAGATTTGTTTAAACTTTTGATCTTCTAAAATATCTTAAATCTAAACTAAAACAAACCCGTTTTAAACCAAACCAAATGTTTGTGATTCAAATTGAATAAACCGGAATCCTAACTATTCATCGGTGATAGACGATAACAGTAGAAGTACGTCTTCGTCTTCCACCTTGAGAAAGGAGAATTGGATTGTAGAGGAAAAGAGATACGAAATCGAGCTTTCTCATAAGCTACGGCGGCTCTAGACGATTGTTGATCTACGAAAGCCGTCCGAAAATGCCCGAAGAAACCGTCGCAGGCGAGAGATTTTATATTTTTGTAAACGTTACTAATAAAGTTTAAAGTAACGGCGTTAGTTTTGCAGGAGGGAATCTCAAAAAATTTGGACCCAAATGTTTTCAAATAGATTGCGATTTCACGCCCTTTCACCTTCCCTCCCGCTTTATTTCCAACCTTTTTGTTTTGGTTGTATCCCCAAAATAAAACCTAGCCCAGAGCCTCGCCGTCGAGATTCACGCCGCGACGAGCTCGTAACCGCGAACATCGATATCGATATCGCTACGCCGCTGGGTTTCGATGATTGCATCGCCGAGACATTAACCATCGAGTATCGGTGAGTATGTTCCTCCTAATCCTATCTCTGACTTGTGTTTGTAATCGAACTCTTTGCTTGTAAGTTCTTCGCCGGCGGTGCTCATAAGTCTCTAGGGTTCATGGGTAATCTGGGGTTGCGAGTTTAAGCCGGATGGGATTTAGGAAAATGGAATTAGGATTGGATGAATTAACATACCAAAATTGTGCCTTCCTCAGATTTACTGATCTGATTTTGTTAATGAAACTGGATAGGTGAAACTGGAGGATCTTATGGAAATTGCGAAAGTCGTTGCTGCTCCTGGTGCTTTCGGAAGTTCTCTTCGGATGAGTGGAGGGTCCAATGCTGCGCCAAAAGGCAAGAGGAAGACACCCACAGAGCTGAGAGTAACTTTGCTGCTTCCCTCTCTTCATTGTGCTTTGTTTCTTTTTTTTTCCATTAATTTTCAACTTATCTTTAAAGACTGTTCATTTAAATACTAATCCTGTCTCACACAATACAGGGAGAACAATTGAAGCAGCCTGGTTTCGTGGACCAAGTTAAAGAATCTTGGGATGCATTGCGCCAATGCAAAAGGTAAAGAAATCATCTCGCTGTCAAGTTGTTTGAACTTATAGTTTACTTATCTAGATTCTCTTGGCTGTAGTACTGAGAGGGAAAGTGGGACTAAGAAACAAGAACATTTGAAGAATCCAATCCGTATTGGTGAACTATATCCTGTCAAAAAGGCTCGGCCTTGGATGCCCCCGGGCAAAGAAAACTCTAAGGTTCGCAACCTCTCATATTCTAATTCTTGATTCCTTCTAATTTTTTGAGAAAACTTTGTGTATAAGCTTTAGTGTTTAGTACACATCTTTTCGTTTTATTCATTTATTTGTCTTTACCACAGGAAAATGGCGCGAAAGAACAATCCAGCGGCCTAGCTAATGTTTCTTTACTCTCAAATGTTGTTGCCAGTAGAAGACAACAACTTATCCGGTAAAATGCCTCAGGTCATTCCTGTCTCGAGTAGGATGGCTTTCGGTGTTTTAACTTATGCTAATGCTTTAATGTCTTAGCAGTAAGGACAATAATGCTTCTACTGAAGATCCTAATGGTTCTAACGCCGAATCTTGTCAAACAACTGAGAGATGTAGCCAGAGCATGTTTCGCAGTGTCACAGAACTTTCAACCAGGGGTGAAGAATTATCCTGCTTCAAAGATATTGATATGGTATGCTTCAATAGCTAGTGTTTGATAATTTTAGGTCTGAGATGGTTATATATATGGTCTTGGGAAACTGATTGCATCTTTCAACAGAACGAAGCACTGAAAGGACTTGCCTCTTGTAAACCATTGCCGATTCATCCTGGTGACATAGCTGGAGAATCTGATACTTTAAGTGGAAAATTCGTGTCTGAGTTTCATGTTCCTGGGCAAAAGATTCCTCTGGACCTTTCCATGAAGACTTATGCTCGACTTGTTTCCTCTTCTCCATTAAATTGGTGAGTTGAGCTATTTCTGAAATTCGTGTAGTAAAAACAGAATCGTATATGGGCTGGTTCTTTTTTTTCTGAACATAGTTTTTTAGTCGAATCTGAGTAATTCTCCTTGACATCTTATGTTAGTTATCACATACTACTTACTATTGATGCTAGTTGAAATAGTGGTTTTTCTTTTGACTCTGAATTCAGTCTATTATTTTCACAAATGTTGTTGTAGGTTACATAGGTCAACCATGGGTAGCACCTACAATGGTATGCCACAGCTGAAGTCATTGTCCTGCAATGTAGTAAATCAAGATGACGGTGGTTCTGGATCAGCTGTGGTTTCCCAGGTGTTAAATTCCATGTCGCTACACTCTTGGGTGTATCCTCAGTCCACTTTGCCTCCTTTTATCATTTCAGCATTGGTTGCATCTGGACCAGAAAGAGGTTTGTTAATAAGAGTTCTTGAGCTATGCCTTCGTATCAGTCATCTTCCTTCTAAAGTTTATAAAGAGATCTTCATTTTGCTATTTTAGGTGAAGTTGATTTCCTACAAAAGCGACAATTGGCATGGGAAGATGCTTTTCGAAGTCTGTATTTCATGTTTCGGAAGAATCTCTGCAAAATATTCTATGGTAATCCCGTCGTATATCTGTCTGATTTGGATGTGATATTTTTTTTCTCGTTATTACGTACTAGGTTGATGAGATCCTTGTGTTTTATTTCCCACTTGAACTTTCTTTTACAAGAATTCGGCATAAACCGTGCTTTACTTTTCTGTCTAGGCAAAGATGCATCAAAGTCACGTACACCGTTAAAGCTATTAAATTGTGAACTTTCATACACTGCTTCTATGTCATGTTCCATCTCTCTTACTGTAATTGATATGTACTCCGTTGAAATGAAACAAAACTTTATTGTCCATTCTTTGGATTGTAGTCTGTACTTCACAGTTTACAGCAATGTTCACCGGAAGCTGTGAGTCAGTGGGTGTCAAACGCTCATGCAATGCCTATATCACCCAGTCAACTAGAAGATTGAGAGCCAATCTCAAAGACCTTGTAAGATATGCTCCCTGGATGCTATTAGATTAGGTTGTTCATATTGTTATGCAAACCTTGTGTGGGCATTAGAACTTTACTAATTATGCTCTGAATATGTTCTTCACAGGACATCTGCTACTCTATGCCTCTTTGCAAAACTAAAATGGATGAAACCACTGTGGAAGATCTTGCTGAACTCTCTGAGATAGAGAATCATAACCTTGGCCAGGTTTGTGCCCCTTTAGTTACCGATTCAAGAACTATATTTCTTTCAGGTGGAATATTTCTTTTGTTATAAATGGGAGAGCATCCGTGTGTTTTTCTGACTCCTGGTAATGGATGCAGACTCGTCGTTCCCGTTCCGTCTCAACCATAGATAATACTCCAGAATCTTTCTTGGCTTTTGATGGAAATGAGAGCGTACATGGATTGTATGATCTTCTGTTAAATTATAGGTACGTATGAACAATTTTTGAAAACGAAGTTAACATCTAAATCCTAGTAACGAATTTCATATAACCATTGTTTCTCAACCATACGCAGGTCTTCTTTGGGATTCCTTCTCACCGCAGACGTTCCTGTATTATATGCACCTGTACCATTCCAGAATGCTGCAGTATCTTCTCCTGAGGTATATCTTCTTACATCTGCGCTTTACTCTGCAATCCGTGAATTCTCTTGACATTCTGAGAACACTTGCTCTTTGATCTCCAGATCAAGTGCTCGGAGATGGTGAAAACAGATCGAACAAGTTGCTACATGGTCGAAATTAAGGGTGAATATCTTCCGCCGTGGATTATTAGCAATGTTTGTGGAAATGTGGTTGCTTATGGGCAAAACTTCGAAGCTAGGTTCGTTGATGCAAAATCTCTTCTCTTTCAAACAAAAAAAAATGTAAGTCTTTGTTAGAAAATGCTAACGTTATGTGAGTTAAATTTCAGCTTTGTAACCGAGCCAACCTCGGTTAGCTTAAACATGGGTCTACCACAGATCCCTGAGAAAACGGAGCCTGAGACTCGAGTCATGGAAGGCACAGGAGATACAAACGATGATGCGTCTGGCATTCCCGGAGCAGTGATCTGCCCTCAGCTTCGATCAGGCCATCTAAAGAGCTTGAAGTATTGCGACAAGTCTTACACTGTTACGCTGTCTCCCTCGTGATCTGTATTTGCTTTTAATCCTCTCTATTTCCAGGTTTTCATCGTTATATCATATGTGTGAGTGTGACCCAAAATTAAATACTCAAACCCAATGTTGACTTTTATTTGCAATTTGTGTGAACATGTTCTGAAACATATTTCATGGCAATATGTA